GGCCTAATAGAGTTCTATGACCAAGCAACACAAATTAGGCAGGAAAGAGAAGGGTGGGCAGATTGTATTTTCTTGGACTGTCAGAAAGCCTTTGACACAGTACCTCACAAAAGGCTGTTACAAAAGTTGGAGCAGCAGGCAGAAGTAAAAGGTAAGGTGCTCCAGTGGATAAGGGAGTATCTAAGCAATAGGAAACAGCGAGTAACGGTGAGGGGGGGAGGCATCAGAGTGGCGAGATGTCACCAGCGGAGTCCCACAGGGCTCTGTACTCAGACCCATCCTGTTTCTAGTATATGTAAACGACCTTCCAGAGGGTATAGACTCATTCCTCTCAATGTTTGCTGACGATGCAAAAATTATGAGAAGAATAAAAACAGATGAAGATAGACAGAGACTACAGGACGACCTGGACAAACTGGAGGAATGGTCTAGAAAATGACTGCTAAAGTTCAACTCAGGAAAGTGTAGAGTAATGAAATTAGGCGAAGGGAGCAGAAGGCTGAACACAAGGTACCATCTGGGAGGTGAAATCCTACAAGAGTCAAATAGAGAGAAAGATCTGGGGGTCGATATCACACCGAACCTGTCCCCAGAGGCCCACATCAAAAGGATATCATCAGCGGCATATGCTAGACTGGCCAATATAAGAACTGCCTTTAGAAACTTGTGTAAGGAATCGTTCAGAACCCTGTATACCACTTATGTAAGACCAATCCTGGAGTATGCAGCTCCAGCCTGGAGTCCATACCTAGTTAAACACAAGATGAAGTTAGAGAAGATTCAGAGGTATGCCACCAGACTGGTCCCGGAACTGAGAGGAATGAGTTACGAGGAAAGGCTAAGGGAGCTGAACCTCACAACCCTGGAAAACAGAAGAGTAAGGGGAGACATGATAACCACCTACAAAATTCTCAGGGGAATTGACAGGGTGGACAAAGACAAACTCTTCAGCACGGGTGGAACACGAACAAGGGGACACAGGTGGAAACTTAGTACCCAGATGAGCCACAGAGACATTAGAAAGATTTTTTTCAGTGTCAGGGTAGTTAACAAATGGAATGCATTAAGTAGTGTTGTGGTGGAGGCTGACTCCATAAACAGTTTCAAATGTAGATATTATAGAGCCCAATAGGCTCAGGAATCTGTACACCAGTTGACTGACATTTGAGAGGCGGGACCAAAGAGCCTGAGCTCAACCCCCCACAAACACAACTAGGTGAGTACACAGCTACAGGGAGGGCATGAAGTGCTGTTATTGCTCATCAGCCCGATGGCAGCACAATTCAAAGGAATATCCGAATTAGTAACTGGGCATCCACAATGCAAGCTGAGTTGGTAGCAATACTGGTAGCACTCGAAATTATTGACAACACTGAAGTAGACAGCTTAATTATTTCTGACTCCCTATCCTCACTACGAGCAATTAACAGTTTGCAATCAAGTAATAACGTGCTTGTCTCAGAAGCCAGACATAGATATATAAGCATACTTAACAAGAGTGTAAATATAAAAATGTTGTGGATTCCTTCTCACATTGGGCTGCAGGAACATAACAAAGTTGACGCCCTTGCTAAGGCTGCAGTAAATAAAGACAGTATTGAACGGAATCTTGAGTTATCAAATAGGTCCCTTAAAAGTGTCATTAGACGAGCACTCCTGGATGGATTTGAAGAAAGTAGAACAGTGCAAACTGGAACTAGCAGGTCCATTGTTCATCACAATGAAATGTGTGAAGTAAAACATGTGTATGGGGCAAGTAACAAAGTCAGTAGCCTAACAGATGTTGTCACAGCTCGTATAAGACTTGGCTACAAGTATCTCTGGCAGTTCGGCTTGTATAGGGATCTAGATGAAGTAAAGTGCAAAGTGTGTGGACAAAGACAGGGACACACACTCGAACACTATATCTTGGATTGTAGTAAAATTGAGCCATTTAGAGATAGATCTAAGCTCACGCTGTATCATATGGCAACCTATCTTATTAACAAGGATAAAATACCTGAAATCCTTGCACTGTATACATATTTCGCTTCCAGTAGATAAACGACATATGAGATTGAGAAACTCAGTATTGTGAAGACTAATAATAAACAGAAGCTCTCCTATGACTCTGTAATATCTCCATTGGTCGAACTATTATGTATTAACGATAAGATCTACCATTAATGTATGACGACTTACTGTAAATATATAGCTCTTGTAATAGCACTTTCTTTGTAACTAGCTGACATTGTAACTATAAGGTGTGAAGGATAGATGAAATTGTTTATGTAATAATCTAAGATGAGGTCTGATAAAGACCTTTTGTGCCCTCTGTAATGCTTTTGCGCTACCGCTCACAGGATGAGTATGGGGTGCACAATAAACTACCGCTCACAGGATGAGTATGGGGTGCACAATAAACTACCGCTCACAGGATGAGTATGGGGTGCACAATAAACTACCGCTCACAGGATGAGTATGGGGTGCACAATAAACTACCGCTCACAGGATGAGTATGGGGTGCACAATAAACTACTGCTCACAGGATGAGTATGGGGTGCACAATAAACTACCGCTCACAGGATGAGTATGGGGTGCACAATAAACTACCGCTCACAGGATGAGTATGGGGTGCACAATAAACTACCGCTCACAGGATGAGTATGGGGTGCACAATAAACTACCGCTCACAGCATGAGTATGGGGTGCACAATAAACTACCGCTCACAGGATGAGTATAGGGTGCACAATAAACTACCGCTCACAGGATGAGTATAGGGTGCACAATAAACTAGCGCTCACAGGATGAGTATGGGGTGCACAATAAACTACCGCTCGCAGGATGAGTATGGGGTGCACAATAAACTACCGCTCGCAGGATGAGTATGGGGTGCACAATAAACTACCGCTCGCAGGATGAGTATGGGGTGCACAATAAACTACCGCTCGCAGGATGAGTATGGGGTGCACAATAAACTACCGCTCACAGGATGAGTATGGGGTGCACAATAAACTAGCGCTCACAGGATGAGTATGGGGTGCACAATAAACTACCGCTCGCAGGATGAGTATGGGGTGCACAATAAACTAGCGCTCACAGGATGAGTATGGGGTGCACAATAAACTACCGCTCGCAGGATGAGTATGGGGTGCACAATAAACTAGCGCTCACAGGATGAGTATGGGGTGCACAATAAACTACCGCTCGCAGGATGAGTATGGGGTGCACAATAAACTACCGCTCACAGGATGAGTATGGGGTGCACAATAAACTACCGCTCACAGGATGAGTATGGGGTGCACAATAAACTACCGCTCACAGGATGAGTATGGGGTGCACAATAAACTACCGCTCACAGGATGAGTATGGGGTGCACAATAAACTACCGCTCACAGGATGAGTATGGGGTGCACAATAAACTAGCGCTCACAGGATGAGTATGGGGTGCACAATAAACTAGCGGCCTCCGGCGGCAACAGTCAACATATCGTCGTCTCTTCATCGTCTGACGTGGGACGACGATGGCAGGTTACAATAGCGGTTGAGAACACACAGGTGACTGTGGAACACACAGGTGACTGTGGAACACACAGGTGACTGTGGAACACACAGGTGACTGTGGAACACACAGGTGACTGTGGAACACACAGGTGACTGTGGAACACACAGGTGACTGTGGAACACACAGGTGACTGTGGAACACACAGGTGACTGTGGAACACACAGGTGACTGTGGAACACACAGGTGACTGTGGAACACACAGGTGACTGTGGAACACACAGGTGACTGTGGACCAAGGACCATCACACTGAAACTCGTACAATCATAAAATAACAAAAACAGTGTTCAGTAAATAATTAACAGATTGGGAATGAAGTTTGACTTCAGTTACCATGACAAGCCAGGTGACTAAAGCCAGGTGACTAAAGCCAGGTGACTAAAGCCAGGTGACTAAAGCCAGGTGACTAAAGCCAGGTGACTAAAGCCAGGTGACTAAGCAAGAAAACAAAGCTGCCAAGAAGCTTAAGAAGAAACAGAAAGAGGCAAAATAAGAGACAGATAAGAAGCGAGAGGGAGGGAGGGAGGGAGGGAGGGAGAGTGAGACAAAGATAAAGAGAAGGGAGAAGGGAAGGAGGAGAGAAATATAGGGGCAGACAGAGAAACAGACAGACTGAGAATGAGTGTTTACCTGCTAAAGTCATTGATGTATGTATCAGTTAATGTTCACTTCTAAAATTCATGTGTGGCCAAGTAAGGAACCTTCCGTGAGAGGCAGTTGTCCGGCCTCTTCCTCAGTATACAGGTGTGTCCTGTCTTGGCCCTAACAGAGAGGCAGTTGTCCGGCCTCTTCCTCAGTATACAGGTGTGTCCTGTCTAGGCCCTAACAGAGAGGCAGTTGTCCGGCCTCTTCCTGACTATACAGGTGTGTCCTGTCTAGGCCCTAACAGAGAGGCAGTTGTCCGGCCTCTTCCTGACTATACAGGTGTGTCCTGTCTAGGCCCTAACAGAGAGGCAGTTCTCCGGCCTTTTCCTCACTATACAGGTGTGTCCTGTCTAGGCCCTAACAGAGAGGCAGTTGTCCGGCCTCTTCCTCACTATACAGGTGTGTCCTGTCTAGGCCCTAACAGAGAGGCAGTTGTCCGGCCTCTTCCTCACTATACAGGTGTGTCCTGTCTAGGCCCTAACAGAGAGGCAGTTGTCCGGCCTCTTCCTCACTATACAGGTGTGTCCTGTCTAGGCCCTAACAGAGAGGCAGTTGTCCGGCCTCTTCCTCACTATACAGGTGTGTCCTGTCTAGGCCCTAACAGTAGGGCGCCCTGGGTCATGTTTTTGTTGCTCGCTCAGTCAGGTTAAGCCAGACACTGGATGGGTGATCGCACAGAACCGTCCACCCTTGGCTGGGGTGACACCGATGAAGCAAACTTGTTCCCTGTGTACCATACGTACCAAATGTGGTACATTAAGAAGAGAAGAAAGGCGAGAACCGCCAGTTTAAAGTACTGAATGAGTACTTACTAAATTTGTTGAGTGTTGGGGTAGAGGTTGATCTGTGGGTTGGGGCCCCAGTGGAGGCTGGACTCTGCCTGCATGTGTCCCAGGCCGCCATAGTCGTCATTTCCTGCCCAGTACAAACTGAGGTTAGTCCTCATAAAATCTGCAAAATTCCATATATCAAATTTTTTGGTACTACCATTCACTCAGACACTCGGTACTGATCCAGTCTCTTGACTCACTCATTACTCACCCCATGTCCGTCCATACTCATTCCCTCATAATCTACCTAAGCCAAACTCTCACAAATTTAGCCCAATATTTTATACTTCCCGAAACACACAGTTTTTGAGAGGATTGTTCTGAGCGTTGTAGTGGTTCACGTCAGTGGTTAACTGAGCCTGGCTTACATAGCTTTCTTCCTACGAGAAGAACGCAAACCTGCTTAAGCTTTGCCGAGTACTTTATCAGGCAGAGACAGAGCTCATTTATCCTTTCTTGATCTCCAAGTTGTCTTTGGCACAGCTGATAGGTAAATGCTCTGGGAAGAGCTAGCGACTTTGGGGGGTTAAACGAGATTGAATGACAGATAAGATTTTTTTTTCAGTAACAGAACTGCCCAGTTTCTAATCCTTCCTTTGCATAGGGCACAGAGAGAGGAGTGGTCAGGCCTTCGCTTTTCAATGTGCTGGCGCATAGACTGATAGCTGACGCACCTATAACCAGCTGATATCTCCTATGCTGACTACGACCCAGATGTCATCTGGTGTGTACGAGAAGGAGCCGTCCACGGCCTCTCCTTGATAGTCTTGCAGCAATATGTATTGAATGTGGTCTTATTACTCCCACAGAGAAACTAAGACCCAGCCTGTAAAAGACCTATCGCCTCCTCCTCCCTGCTCTTCAACCAATACTCAGCAGATCACAAACTCTAGTAATACACAGCCCCTCGAAGTGGGTAGTTACAGTGATGCTGTCAGTCAGTTAGGCTACTCCCTCTGAGTAGTCAGCATGGTCACTACAGAGGCACAAGGGTCGTCAGCATGGTCACTACAGAGGCACAAGGGTCGTCAGCATGGTCACTACAGAGGCACAAGGGTCGTCAGCATGGTCACTACAGATGCACGAGGGTCGTCAGCATGGTCACTACAGAGGCACGAGGGTCGTCAGCATGGTCACTACAGAGGCACGAGGGTCGTCAGCATGGTCACTACAGAGGCACGAGGGTCGTCAGCATGGTCACTACAGAGGCACGAGGGTCGTCAGCATGGTCACTACAGATGCACGAGGGTCGTCAGCATGGTCACTACAGAGGCACGAGGGTCGTCAGTATGGTCACTACAGAGGCACAAGGGTCGTCAGCATGGTCACTACAGATGCACGAGGGTCGTCAGCATGGTCACTACAGAGGCACGAGGGTCGTCAGCATGGTCACTACAGAGGCACGAGGGTCGTCAGCATGGTCACTACAGAGGCACGAGGGTCGTCAGCATGGTCACTACAGAGGCACGAGGGTCGTCAGCATGGTCACTACAGAGGCACGAGGGTCGTCAGCATGGTCACTACAGAGGCACAAGGGTCGTCAGCATGGTCACTACAGAGGCACGAGGGTCGTCAGCATGGTCACTACAGAGGCACGAGGGTCGTCAGCATGGTCACTACAGAGGCACGAGGGTCGTCAGCATGGTCACTACAGAGGCACGAGGGTCGTCAGCATGGTCACTACAGAGGCACGAGGGTCGTCAGCATGGTCACTACAGAGGCACGAGGGTCGTCAGCATGGTCACTACAGAGGCACGAGGGTCGTCAGCATGGTCACTACAGAGGCACGAGGGTCGTCAGCATGGTCACTACAGAGGCACGAGGGTCGTCAGCATGGTCACTACAGAGGCACGAGGGTCGTCAGCATGGTCACTACAGAGGCACGAGGGTCGTCAGCATGGTCACTACAGAGGCACGAGGGTCGTCAGCATGGTCACTACAGAGGCACGAGGGTCGTCAGCATGGTCACTACAGAGGCACGAGGGTCGTCAGCATGGTCACTACAGAGGCACGAGGGTCGTCAGCATGGTCACTACAGAGGCTCGAGGGTCGTCAGCATGGTCACTACAGAGGCACGAGGGTCGTCAGCATGGTCACTACAGAGGCTCGAGGGTCGTCAGTGTTACGGACCCGAGTCCAGCGTCCTAGCACGGAGCAGTGACGACAACGCCATCTGCCAGTCTGCTCCCGAAACCCCCTCCAAATGGACGACGCCATCTAGTGAGGACGGGATATACCGGCCACAGGGGCTGGATTCCCGTCTTAGTCAGCTCATAACATAGCCGCTGCTGACCTCTGGTGAGGTGACGCTTAGACAACAACGCCATCTATGGAGTGGATAGGTGGACGTTTGTGTCTAAGCCTGTAAGTTTGGTGCCCTAGAGTGTCCCTAGTACTAATGATGTGTCTGATTACAGAGTCGACCTGGGACTGCTGTATTGGACGATGGGGCAGTCTACCCAAGGCAGCTAAAGTCTCCCCACGTGTTTGCTGCAGAAGCTGTGAGTCACTCCCGGACGAACATTGTTGAGTGTGTTAGCCTGCCTGTGACGTGGCAGTACCGGGAATCGTCTTATCTGGGGCTGGCTGGTGGAAGAGACTACCCACTGTGGTGCGGAGAGAGGAGAGTGATCTGCGGAATCACACGAGGCTCCTGCCTAGGGCTCGCAACCCTAGTATCGATCGTGGAGTGGCCTACACAGCGGAGCTGATTGGAACCTGCCAGCTGCAGGCTGGATTTGTGGTTGAAGGCCTCCACGACGGTGCACCCAGTGGGACTGTGATTCGGCTGGCCTGTGGCTGGGGTAGATTCGCCGAGAGAATCATAGGATTCATCGTATGCCACGAAGAAGAGAACCAGGGCTACTCATCTTGAGCATCGTGGAGCATCCTGTGTCTTCAGAGGAAGACTAATTTGTATATAATAAGTGTAGTTATAGCAACCCCGCGTGTGACTGTGATATATTTATGGTGGTGGTAGCAATATATATACAAAAGCAGTACATTTGTATCCCTTCCCCTTTAATTTAACTTGCGTTACAGAACACACCCCTTGAAAGCCACTACTAACTTGGGGCCGGATACCCAAACTCTAATAACATCAGAGAAGAACCCGGTTGCGACCCAAATGGAGGGCCGTAACAGTCAGCATGATCACAACAGAGGCACAAGGGTAGTCAGCATCGTCACTACAGAGGCACAAGGGTCGTCAGCATGGTCACTACAGAGGCACGAGGGTCGTCAACATGGTCACTACAGAGGCACAAGGGTCGTCAGCATGGTCACTACAGAGGCACAAGGGTCGTCAGCATGGTCACTACAGAGGCACGAGGGTCGTCAGCATGGTCACTACAGAGGCACAAGGGTCGTCAGCATGGTCTCTACAGAGGCACAAGGGTCGTCAGCATGGTCACTACAGAGGCACAAGGGTCGTCAGCATGGTCACTACAGAGGCACAAGGGTCGTCAGCATGGTCACTACAGAGGCACAAGGGTCGTCAGCATGGTCACTACAGAGGCACAAGGGTCGTCAGCATGGTCACTACAGAGGCACGAGGGTCGTCAGCATGGTCACTACAGAGGCACGAGGGTCGTCAGCATGGTCACTACAGAGGCACGAGGGTCGTCAGCATGGTCACTACAGAGGCACGAGGGTCGTCAGCATGGTCACTACAGAGGCACGAGGGTCGTCAGCATGGTCACTACAGAGGCACGAGGGTCGTCAGCATGGTCACTACAGAGGCACGAGGGTCGTCAGCATGGTCACTACAGAGGCACAAGGGTGGTCAGCATGGTCACTACAGAGGCACGAGGGTCGTCAGCATGGTCACTACAGAGGCACGAGGGTCGTCAGCATGGTCACTACAGAGGCACGAGGGTCGTCAGCATGGTCACTACAGAGGCACAAGGATCGACAGCATGAGGCAGCATCACCTGCCAGGCCTCATGAAACACTGGTACTAAATAGGAACTGTTTGATCGAATGTTCCAAAATGTAGTGATGGACCCCCATAGTACCAGTATGTGGTGTGTATGTATACGTATGTATATATACATACATATATATGTATACATATGTATACATACGTATGTATACATACATACGTATGTATGTATGCATATGTATGTATACATACGTATGTATGTATGCATATGTATGTATACATACGTATGTATGTATGCATATGTATGTATACATACATACATATGTATCTCATGCCTCCCACACCGTGGAAGGCATGACAACGGACGACTCATCAGATCATTATGGACACCATCTAGAGCGCCTGGCAATATTATTATGTTGGTTTGTGGTGCCGGGACAAGCCTTCATCCATGGCACTCAGTACTCCCCTCAGGGCACTCAGTACTCCCCCAGGGCACTCAGTACCCCACACCAGGGCACTCAGTACCCACCCCAGGGCACTCAGTACTCCCCTCAGGGCACTCAGTACTCCCCTCAGGGCACTCAGTACTCCCCCAGGGCACTCAGTACTCCCCTCAGGGCACTCAGTACTCCCCTCAGGGCACTCAGTACTCCCCTCAGGGCACTCAGTACTCCCCTCAGGGCACTCAGTACTCCCCCCAGGGCACTCAGTACTCCCCTCAGGGCACTCAGTACTCCCCTCAGGGCACTCAGTACTCCCCTCAGGGCACTCAGTACTCCCCCCAGGGCACTCGGTACCCACCCCAGAGCACTCAGTACCCACCCCAGGGCACTCAGTACCCACCCCAGGGTAATCAGTACTCCCCCCAGGGCACTCAGTACTCCCCCCAGGGAACTCAGCACCCACCCCAGGGCACTCAGTACCCACCCCAGGGCACTCAGTACCCACCCCAGGGCACTCAGTACCCACCCCAGGGCACTCCGTACTCCCCCCAGGGCACTCAGTACCCACCCCAGGGCACTCAGTACCCACCCCAGGGCACTCAGTACCCACCCCAGGGCACTCAGTACCCACCCCAGGGCACTCGGTACCCACCCCAGGGCACTCAGTACCCACCCCAGGGCACTCGGTACCCACCCCAGGGCACTCGGTACACACCCCAGGGCACTCGGTACTACCCCCAGGGCACTCAGTACTCCCCCAGGGAACTCAGTACCCACCCCAGGGCACTCAGTACTCCCCCAGGGCACTCAGGACCCACCCCAGGGCACTCAGTACCCACCCCAGGGCACTCAGTACCCACCCCAGGGCACTCAGTACCCACCCCAGGGCACTCAGTACCCACCCCAGGGCACTCAGTACCCACCCCAGGGCACTCAGTACCCACCCCAGGGCACTCAGTACCCATTCCAGGGCACTCAGTACCCATCCCAGGGCACTCAGTACTCACCCCCAGGGCAATCAGTACTCCCCCAAGGGCACTCAGTACTCCCCCCAGGGCACTCAGTACCCACCCCAGGGCACTCAGTACTCCCCCAGGGAACTCAGTACCCACCCCAGGGCACTCAGTACTCCCCCAGGGCACTCAGTACCCACCCCAGGGCACTCAGTACCCACCCCAGGGCACTCAGTACCCACCCCAGGGCACTCAGTACCCACCCCAGGGCACTCAGTACCCACCCCAGGGCACTCAGTACCCACCCCAGGGCACTCAGTACCCATCCCAGGGCACTCAGTACCCATCCCAGGGCACTCAGTACTCACCCCCAGGGTAATCAGTACTCCCCCCAGGGCACTCAGTACTCCCCCCAGGGCACTCAGTACCCACCCCAGGGCACTCAGTACTCACCCAGGGCACTCAGTACTCCCCCAGGGCACTCAGTACCCACCCCAGGGCACTCAGTACACACCCCAGGGCACTCAGTACTCCCCCAGGTCACTCAGTACACACCCCAGGGCACTCAGTACACACCCCAGGTCACTCAGTACACACCCCAGGGCACTCAGTACCCACCCCAGGGCACTCAGTACCCACCCCAGGGCACTCAGTACTCACCCAGGGCACTCAGTACTCCCCCAGGGCACTCAGTACTCCCCCCAGGGCACTCAGTACACACCCCAGAGCACTCAGTACTCCCTCCATGGCACTCAGTACCCACCCCAGGGCACTCAGTACGCCCCCCAGGGCACTCAGTACTCCCCCCAGGGCACTCAGTACTCCCCCAGGGCACTCAGTACCCACCCCAGTGCACTCAGTACTCCCCCCAGGGCACTCAGTACTCCCCCCCAGGGCACTCAGTACTCCCCGCATGGCACTCAGTACCCACCCCAGGGCACTCAGTACTCCCCCCCAGGGCACTCAGTACTCCCCCCAGGGCACTCAGTACTCCCCCCGAGGGCACTCAGTACTCCCCGCATGGCACTCAGTACCCACCCCAGGGCACTCAGTACTCCCCCCCAGGGCACTCAGTACTCCCCCCAGGGCACTCAGTACTCCCCCCGAGGGCACTCAGTACTCCCCGCATGGCACTCAGTACCCACCCCAGGGCACTCAGTACTCCCCCCCAGGGCACTCAGTACTCCCCCCGAGGGCACTCAGTACTCCCCGCATGGCACTCAGTACCCACCCCAGGGCACTCAGTACTCCCCCCCAGGGCACTCAGTACTCCCCCCAGGGCACTCAGTACACACCCCAGGGCACTCAGTACCCACCCCAGGGCACTCAGTACTCCCCCCAGGGCACTCAGTACTCCCCCCAGGGCACTCAGTACTCCCCGAGGGCACTTAGTACTCCCCCCAGGGCACTCAGTACACACCCCAGGGCACACAGTACCCACCCCAGGGCACTCAGTACTCCCCCCAGGGCACTCAGTACCCACCCCAGGGCACTCAGTACTCCCCCAGGGCACTCAGTACCCACCCCAGGGCACTCAGTACTCCCCCAGGGCACTCAGTACCCACCCCAGGGCACTCAGTACACACCCCAGGGCACTCAGTACTCCCCCAGGGCACTCAGTACTCCCCCCAGGGAACTCAGTACTCCCCCAGGCACTCAGTACCCACCCCAGGGCACTCAGTACCCACCCCAGGACACTCAGTACCCACCCCAGGGCACTCAGTACCCACCCCAGGGCACTCAGTACTCCCCCAGGGCACTCAGTACCCACCCCAGGGCACTCAGTACACACCCCAGGGCACTCAGTACCCACCCCAGGGCACCCAGTACTCCCCCCAGGGCACTCAGTACCCACCCCAGGGCACTCAGTACTCCCCCCAGGGCACTCAGTACACACCCCAGGGCACTCAGTACCCACCCCAGGGCACTCAGTACTCCCTTCAGGGCACTCAGTACTCCCCCCAGGGCACTCAGTACTCCCCCCAGGGCACTCAGTACACACCCCAGGGCACTCAGTACACACCCCAGGGCACTCAGTACTCCCTTCAGGGCACTCAGTACTCCCCCCAGGGCACTCAGTACTCCCCCCAGGGCACTCAGTACCCACCCCAGGGCACTCAGTACTTCCCCAGAGCACTCAGTACCCACCCCAGGGCACTCAGTACACACCCCACGGCACTCAGTACTCCCCCAGGGCACTCAGTACTCCCCCAGGGCACTCAGTACCCACCCCAGGGCACTCAGTACTCCCCCCAGGGCACTCAGTATTCCCCCAGGGCACTCAGTACACACCCCAGGGCACTCAGTACCCACCCCATGGCACTCAGTACACACCCCAGGGCACTCAGTACTCCCCCCAGGGCACTCAGTACACACCCAGGGCAATCAGTACTCCCCCCAGGGCACTCAGTACACACCCCAGGTCACTCAGTACTCACCTTAGGTCACTCAGTACTCACTCCCATGTCACTCAGTACTCACCCCAGGTCACTCAGTACTCACCCCAGGTCACTTAGTACTCACCCCAGGTCACTCAGTGCTCACCCCAGGTCGCTCAGTACTCACCCCCAGGGCACTCAGTACTCACCCCAGGTCACCCAGTACTCACCCCAGGTCACTCAGTACTCACTCCCATGTCACTCAGTACTCACCCCAGGTCACTCAGTACTCACCCCAGGTCACTTAGTACTCACCCCAGGTCACTCAGTGCTCACCCCAGGTCGCTCAGTACTCACCCCCAGGTCACTCAGTATATTCACCCCCAGGTCACTCAGTGTTCACCCCAGGTCACTCAGTGCTCCCCTAGGTCACCCAGTACTCACCCCCAGGTCACTCAGTACTCACCCCCAGGGCACTCAGTACTCACCTCAGGGCACTCAGTACTCCCCCCAGGTCACTCAGTACTCACCCCAGTGCACTCAGTACTCACCCCCAGGTCACTCAGTGCTCACCCCATGTCACTCAGTGTTCCCCTAGGTCACCCAGTACTCACCCCCAGGTCACTCAGTACTCACCCCCAGGGCACTCAGTACTCACCCCTAGGTCACTCAGTACTCACCCCCAGGTCACTCAGTACTCACCCCCAGGTCACTCAGTACTCACCCCCAGGGCACTCAGTACTCACCCCTAGGTCACTCAGTACTCACCCCCCAGGTCACTCAGTACTCACCCCCAGGTCACTCAGTACTCACCCACAGGTCACTCAGTACTCACCCCCCAGGTCACTCAGTACTCACCCCCAGGTCACTCAGTATACTCACCCCCAGGTCACTCAGTGCTCACTCCAGGTCACTCAGTGCTCCCCTAGGTCACCCAGTACTCACCCCCAGGTCACTCAGTACTCACCCCCAGGTCACTCAGTACTCACCCCCTGTGGGAACCGACCTGTGAGATTTATATTTATTTAATTTATATGAATTTATATTTACGTTAATTTATATACTTCGATAGCAATTTGTATAATGATAAGTGGACTGTATTTCTGCAATAATCTCATAATCTCACAAATCGATCCTCTACACATTAGGGGGGTTTATATTAATTTAATTTATATATATGCAGCCAATCAAACTACAGTATTAACTACATACATTGAAAAGGTTCCTTATCTTATAGTACAGCAGGTCTTAGTCCACCAGGTATAACTAGGGTGTAGACACCACATTTTCCCTCTTTGAGGTAGCTTCCATCACCCTGGTAACTGATGCACAAAGCATGCTTCCTCGTCTTGACCTGTCAAAAGGGCGCTAGCTATAAAGCCAGAAACCTATATATGACAGGTATATCAGAGAAAACACTGTACATGGAACAATGAAGACCTGGCTTAATTACCTTTAGTTTGAGGCTACCTCGTGCTCTAACCGGGTCACCGTATATACACTGACATTAATGGCCACAAATGAAAGATATATGGGTTTCGGAAGAACACTTAACTTGATTTGTTGACAGCGTGTTGATAATGGTACACCTTTGGTTTCCATAACACTTCGTCCAAGTAAATTAACAGGAGCCGAATTTGCTCCCGTGAGCCTCTCTGGTCTCAATATAAACAATGGCTGCCCCTCCTTCCTCACTGACGCCTAGCTTCCATTGTCCAGATGACAGAAAGTGATAGAAGGGTCACATTTACTCTACTTCAATATTGATAATTAAGTTAATTTATATGAGATGTTTTTATGATGGTAAAGTCCAAAGACTAATGTATTTAAGAATAATTCCCAGCAGAATAGCTGGTGAATTTATAATAGTATGTGGTGATGATATCCCGTTTTCTATAGACGGTAATTCCACTACAAGTTACGTTTTCTATGGGTAACTTGTTTATACTATACAGCTATTTTTATCTGTCTGTATGATATTATTATATGGTGTCGGATTTTCCGACACCCCCAGGGCACTCAGTACTCACCCCTAGGTCACTCAGTACTCACCCCAGGTCACTCAGTACTCACCCCTAGACTCGGCAATGCCAATGCTGCCACTCTTCGGCCATCGACCATAGCGCGAATTCCTTGGCAGGAGCCAGATAGCTGCAGGGAGAAGAAAGTGATTAGCACCACCAGCTTGGGCAGGAGCCAGATAGCTGCAGTGAGGAGAGAGCAGCACCACCAGCTTGGGCAGGAGCCAGATAGCTGCAGGGAGGAGAGAGCAGCACCACCAGCTTGGGCAGGAGCCAGATAGCTGCAGGGAGGAGAGAGCAACACGCCAGCTTGGGCAGGAGCCAGATAGCTGCAGGGAGGTGAGAGCAACACGCCAGCTTGGGCAGGAGCCAGATAGCTGCAGGGAGGTGAGAGCAACACGCCAGCTTGGGCAGGAGCCAGATAGCTGCAGGGAGGAGAGAGCAGCACCACCAGCTTGGGCAGGAGCCAGATAGCTGCAGTGAGGAGAGAGCAGCACCACCAGCTTGGGCAGGAGCCAGATAGCTGCAGGGAGGAGAGAGCAACACGCCAGCTTGGGCAGGAGCCAGATAGCTGCAGGGAGGTGAGAGCAACACGCCAGCTTGGGCAGGAGCCAGATAGCTGCAGGGAGGAGAGAGCAACACGCCAGCTTGGGCAGGAGCCAGATAACTGCAGGGAGGAGAGAGCAACACGCCAGCTTGGGCAGGAGCCAGATAGCTGCAGGGAGAAGAGAGCAACACGCCAGCTTGGGCAATAGTAATAGCATGTTTGTGTGTAGAATTTAATTTCTCTTCAGCGGAACAATACACATTCGTGACCAACCGACACGCCAGAAGATGGAGAGACGACGACGGTTGGGTCCGTCCTGGACCACTAACATGTCGGGTGAGAATGGTCGAGGACGGACCGAGACGTCGTCGTCCCTCGTCTCCGGTGTGTGGGTTGGTCACCATGTCTTCACCCGCATTACTGTCACTCACTGTCTGTACTACATATGTGTACAACATCCTTCCTACTACTTGAGAGGAAACATACCTGGCCACACACCTGTCACTCACCTGGCCACACACGTCACTCATCCGGCCACACCTGTCACTCACCTGGCCACACCTGTCACTCACCTGGCCACACCTGTTACTCACCTGGCCACACTTGTCACTCACCTGGCCACACTTGTCACTCACCTGGCCACACCTGTCACTCACCTGGCCACACCTGTCACTCACCTGGCCACACACCTGTCACTCACCTGGCCACACCTGTCACTCATCCGGCCACACCTGTTACTCATCTGGCCACACCTGTCACTCACCTAGCCACACCTGTCACTCACCTGGCCACACCTGTCACTTATCTGGCCACACCTGTTACTCGCCTTGACACACCTGTTACTCGCCTGGCTACACCTGTCACTCGCCTGGCCACACCTGTTACTCGCCTGGCCACACCTGTTACTCGCCTGGCCAAACCTGTCACTCACCTGGCCACACCTGTCACTCACCTGGCCACACCTGTCACGCTTGTCACTCACCTGGCCACACCTGTTACTCACCTGGCCACGCACCCTTCACTCACCTGGCCACACCTGCTACTCACCTGGCAACACCTGTCTCCCGCCTGGCCACACCTGTCACTCACCTGGCCACACCTGCCACTCACCTGGCAAACACCTGTCACTCGCCTGACCACACCTGTCACTCACCTGGCCACACCTGTCACACGCCTGGCCATACCTGTTACTCACCTGGCCACACCTTTTACTCACCTGGCCACACCTGTCACCCGCCTGGCCACACCTGTCACTCACCTGTTACTCACCTGGCCACACCTGTCACTCACCTGGCCACATCTGTCACCCGCCTGGCCACACCTGTTACACACCTGGCCACAGCTGTCACTCACCTGGCCACACCTGTTACTCTCCTGGTCACACCTGTCACCCGCCTGGCCACACTTGTCACTCACCTGGCCACACCTGTCACTCACCTGGCCACACCTGTCACTCACCCGGCCACACCTGTCACTCACCCGGCCACACCTGTTACTCACCTGGCCACACACCTGTCACTCACCTGGCCACACCTGTCAGTCACCCGGCCACACCTGTTACTCACCTAGCCACACTTGTCACTCACCTGGCCACACCTGTCACTCACCCGGCCACACCTGTCACTCACCTGGCCACACCTGTCACTCACCTGGCCACACACCTGTCACTCACCTGGCCACACACCTGTCACTCACCCGGCCACACCTGTCACTCACCCGGCCACACCTGGCACTCACCCGGCCACACCTGTCACTCACCCGGCCACACCTGTCAGTCACCCGGCCACACCTGTCACTCACCTGGCCACACACCTGTCACTCACCTGGCCACACCTGTCAGTCACCCGGCCACACCTGTTACTCACTTGGCCACACCTGTCATTCACCCATTGGAAAAAGTAAGCTTACAGAGAGCTTCTTCACCTTAAAGGTGGTTTAAGTCAGCATTCCAGACTGCTGCCACAGAGAACTCGGCAAACATTAATCGTTGATCTCAACTTGACATGTTGGGATTGTTTTGACTCTTGCTTTTGCTCTGTGAATTCCTACTTTATCAAGACATGAAACATGAGAGAACTGACATCCTTAAAAAAATAAGCATTTGTTCTGGATTGCTGCTTCATGAATTGTTACATCTTGACATGTTTCTCTTCATTGTGCATTGTCCTCAAAGAACAAAGGGAGCCGGTCGGCCGAGCGGACAGCACACTGTACTTGAGATCCTATGCTCCCGGGTTCGATCCCGCGCGCCGGCGAGAAACAATGGGCAGAGTTTCTTTCAGCCTATGCCCCTGTTACCTAGCAGTAAAATAGGTACCTGGGTGTTAGTCAGCTGTCACGGGCTGCTTCCTGGGGGTGGAGGCCTGGTCGAGGACCGGGCCGCGGGGACACTAAAGCCCCGAAATCATCTCAAGATAACCTCAAGATAACCAAATGGCCACACCTGTCACTCACCTGGCCACACCTGTTACCCGGCCACACCTGTCACTCATCTGGTCACACACCTTGTCACTCACCTGGCCACACCTGTCACTCACCTAGCCACACACCTGTCACTCACCTGGCCACACACCTGTCACTCACCTGGCCACACACCTGTCACTCACCCGGCCACACCTGTCACTCACCCGGCCACACCTGTCAGTCACCCGGCCACACCTGTCACTCACCCGGCCACACCTGTCACTCACCCGGGAACACCTGTCACTCATCTAGCCACACTTGTCACTCACCTGGCCACACCTGTCACTCACCCGGCCACACCTGTCACTCACCTGGCCACACACCTGTCACTCACCCGGCCACACCTGTCACTCACCTGGCCACACACCTGTCACTCACCTGGCCACACACCTGTCACTCACCTGGCCACACACCTGTCACTCACCCGGCCACACCTGTCACTCACCTGGCCACACCTGTCACTCACCTGGCCACACCTGTCACTCACTTGGCCACACACCTGTCACTCACCTGGCCACACCTGTCACTCACCTGGCCACACACCTGTCACTCACCTGGCCACACACCTGTCACTCACCTGGCCACACACCTGTCACTCACCTGGCCACACACCTGTCACTCACCTGGCCACACACCTGTCACTCACCTGGCCACACACCTGTCACTCACCTGGCCACACACCTGTCACTCACCTGGTCACACACCTGTCACTCACCTGGCCACACACCTGTCACTCACCTGGCCACACACCTGTCACTCACCTGGCCACACACCTGTCACTCACCTGGCCACAACCAGTCTCCTCGGGGCATCTTGGCACGGACCTCCACGCGGCCATACCTGGGGGGGGGGACCATTGTGGCCTCAACATTACATTGCAACACCAACACAAGTCAAGGTAATAACGTGCTATGCAACACAAGACTTCACTATAAACTTGCAACAGAATATAAATGTTCTTCCCCTCAATGACCTTTAGGTTCCTCCCTACATTTTTGGAAACGAGAATTATCAAAACTATCGTGGCCCCACACCTGCACCTATCATGGCCCCACACCTGCACCTATCATGGTCCCTACGCCAGCACGTATCATGGCCCCCACACCTGCACCTATCATGGCCCCACACCTGCACCTATCATGGTCCCTACGCCAGCACGTATCATGGCCCCCACACCTGCACCTATCATGGCCCCACACCTGCACCTATCATGGCCCCACACCTGCACCTATCATGGTCCCTACACCAGCACGTATCATGGCCCCCACACCTGTACCTATTATGGCCCCACACCTGCACCTATCATGGCCCCACACCTGCACCTATCATAGCCCCCACACCTGCGCCTATCATGGCCACACACCAGCACCAATCATAGCCCCCACACCTGCACCTATCATAACCTCACACCTACACCTATCATTGCCTCTCACCAGCACCTATCATGGCCCCCACACCTGTCCCTATCATGACCCCACACCAGCACCCATTTTTGCCCCACACCTGCACCTCTCATGGCCCCACACCTGCAAATATCATGGCCCCACACCAGCACCTAGCATGGCCCCAAACTAGCAACTCTCGTGGTCCCACACCTGCACCAATCATGGCCCCACACCAGCACCTATCACGGCCCCACACCAGCACCTATCATGGCCCCCACACCTGTACCTATCATGGCCCCACACCAGCACCTATCATGGCCCCCACACCTGTACCTATCATGGCCCCACACCAGCACCCATCGTTACCCACACCTGCACCTCTCATGACCCCACACCTGTACCTATCATGGCCCACACCAGCAACTATCATGGCGCCACACCAGCACCTAGCATTGCCCCACACCTGTACCTATCATGGCCCACACCAGCAACTATCATGGCGCCACACCAGCACATATCACGGCCCCAAACCATCACCTATCATGGCCCCAAACCATTACCTATCATGGCCCCACACCTGCACCTATCATGGCCCAACACTTGCACCTATCATGGCCCCCACACCAGAATCTATCATGGTCCAACACCTACACCTATCGTGGTCCCACACCAACATCTATCAGACCCACCCCCCCACACAAGCACCTATCATGGCCCCACACCTGCACCTATCATGGCCCCACACCTGCACCTATCATGGCCCCACACAAGCACCTATCATGGCCCTCCACACAGGCACCTATCATGGCCCCACACCCGCACCTATCATGGCCCCCACACAGGCACCTATCATGGCCCCATACCCGCACCTACCATGGCCCCCACACAGGCACCTATCATGGCCCCATACCCGCACCTATCATGGCCCCCACACAGGCACCTATCATGGCCTCATACCCGCACCTATCATGGCCCCCACACCTGCACCTATCATGGCCCCACACAAGCACCTATCATGGCCCTCCACACAGGCACCTATCATGGCCCCACACCCGCACCTATCATGGCCCCCACACAGGCACCTATCATGGCCCCATACCCGCACCTATCATGGCCCAACACCTGTACCTATCATGGCCCCACACCTGTACCTTTCATGGCCCCACACCTGTACCTGGGAAGACGGGCTGGAGCTGTTACACACGACTCACAACTGATGACGTTCGAACATTTCTCGAAGCCTCGCTGACGCCCTGTGTTCGAGCCACCATCTATGAAAGCTTCACCCACGTACTTCAAGTAGAAATAATCGCCAACAGAACCTAAACACCTAACCTAACCTAACCTAACCTAACCTAACCTAACCTAACCTAACCTAACCTAACCTAACCTACGTCTAACTATATATAGAATTTTTATGTATAATATATATATATATTATATATATATATATATATATATATATATATATATATATATAAATATATATATATATATATATATATATATATATATATATATATATATATATATATATATATATATATATATATATATATATATATATATATATATATATATACATATATACATATATATCTAATACACAGTATGTTTATATTGATGATTGTGTCTGGGGGAGGAGGGCCGCTGCTTTAACGAGCCCCGCCCGAGGAGGTGTTAGAAAGCCCCTGGGACAAGCGACTGTGAGTACCCACCTGAAGGCGAAGGAGGGGAGGGTCCTGAGCCTGGCGCTCATGATGGGGTTGAGGATGTAGTCGGGGTCGCCGGTGCGCCAACAGCCGTAGTTGGCGCTCTCCGTGCACGCCTCACCCAGGTTCAGCTCACCGCTCCTCAGGAACTCCTCGGACTTCCAGTTGGACGTCAGTTGCTGTGATCCAGAATAATGTTAAAATGTAGAGTGATGGAGAGTGGTAGAGGGTGAGGGGGAGAGTGGTAGAGGGTGAGGGGGAGTGTGGTAGAGGGTGAGGGGGAGTGTGGTAGAGGGTGAGGGGGAGTGTGGTAGAGGGTGAGGGGGAGTGTGGTAGAGGGTGAGGGGGAGTGTGGTAGAGGGTGAGGGGGGAGAGTGGTAGAGGGTGAGGGGGAGTGTGGTAGAGGGTGAGGGGGAGTGTGGTAGAGGGTGAGGGGGAGTGTGGTAGAGGGTGAGGGGGAGTGTGGTAGAGGGTGAGGGGGAGTGTGGTAGAGGGTGAGGGGGAGTGTGGTAGAGGGTGAGGGGGAGTGTGGTAGAGGGTGAGGGGGAGTGTGGTAGAGGGTGAGGGGGGGAGAGTGGTAGAGGGTGAGGGGGAGTGTGGTAGAGGGTGAGGGGGAGTGTGGTAGAGGGTGAGGGGGGAGAGTGGTAGAGGGTGAGGGGGAGTGTGGTAGAGGGTGAGGGGGAGTGTGGTAGAGGGTGAGGGGGAGTGTGGTAGAGGGTGAGGGGGAGTGTGGTAGAGGGTGAGGGGGAGTGTGGTAGAGGGTGAGGGGGAGTGTGGTAGAGGGTGAGGGGGAGTGTGGTAGAGGGTGAGGGGGAGTGTGGTAGAGGGTGAGGGGGAGTGTGGTAGAGGGTGAGGGGGAGTGTGGTAGAGGGTGAGGGGGAGAGTGGTAGAGGGTGAGGGGGAGTGTGGTAGAGGGTGAGGGGGAGTGTGGTAGAGGGTGAGGGGGAGTGTGGTAGAGGGTGAGGGGGAGAGTGGTAGAGGGTGAGGGGGAGAGTGGTAGAGGGTGAGGGGGGAGAGGGTGGGGGGAGGAGTGGTAGAGGGTGAGGGGGAGAGTGGTAGAGGGTGAGGGGGAGTGTGGTAGAGGGTGAGGGGGAGTGTGGTAGAGGGTGAGGGGGAGTGTGGTAGAGGGTGAGGGGGAGTGTGGTGGTAGAGGGTGAGGGGGAGTGTGGTAGAGGGTGAGGGGGAGTGTGGTAGAGGGTGAGGGGGAGAGTGGTAGAGGGTGAGGGGGAGAGTGGTAGAGGGTGAGGGGGAGAGTGGTAGAGGGTGAGGGGGAGTGTGGTAGAGGGTGAGGGGGAGTGTGGTAGAGGGTGAGGGGGAGAGTGGTAGAGGGTGAGGGGGAGAGTGGTAGAGGGTGAGGGGGAGAGTGGTAGAGGGTGAGGGGGAGAGGGTAGAGGGTGAGTAGAGGGTAGAGGGTGAGGGGGAGAGTGGTAGAGGGTGAGGGGGAGAGTGGTAGAGGGTGAGGGGGAGAGTGGTAGAGGGTGAGGGGGAGAGTGGTAGAGGGTGAGGGGGTGTGGTAGAGGGTGGGGGAGAGGGTGAGGGGGAGTGTGGTAGAGGGTGAGGGGGAGTGTGGTAGAGGGTGAGGGGAGTGTGGTAGAGGGTGAGGGGAGTGTGGTAGAGGGTGAGGGGGAGTGTGGTAGAGGGTGAGGGGAGTGTGGTAGAGGGTGAGGGAGAGTGTGGTAGAGGGTGAGGGGGAGTGTGGTAGAGGGTGAGGGGGAGAGTGGTAGAGGGTGAGGGGGAGAGTGGTAGAGGGTGAGGGGGAGAGTGGTAGAGGGTGAGGGAGAGTGTGGTAGAGGGTGAGGGGGAGTGTGGTAGAGGGTGAGGGAGAGTGTGGTAGAGGGTGAGGGGGGAGTGTGGTAGAGGGTGAGGGGGAGAGTGGTAGAGGGTGAGGGGGAGTGTGGTAGAGGGTGAGGGGGAGGGTGGTAGAGGATGAGGGGGAGTGTGGTAGAGGGTGAGGGGGAGAGTGGTAGAGGGTGAGGGGGAGAGTGGTAGAGGGTGAGGGGGAGAGTGGTAGAGGGTGAGGGGGAGGGTGGTAGAGGATGAGGGGGAGTGTGGTAGAGGGTGAGGGTGAGAGTGGTAGAGGGTGAGGGGGAGAGTGGTAGAGGGTGAGGGGGAGAGTGGTAGAGGGTGAGGGGGAGAGTGGTAGAGGGTGAGGGGGAGTGTGGTAGAGGGTGAGGGGGAGTGTGGTAGAGGGTGAGGGGGAGAGTGGTAGAGGGTGAGGGGGAGAGTGGTAGAGGGTGAGGGGGAGAGTGGTAGAGGGTGAGGGGGAGTGTGGTAGAGGGTGAGGGGGAGTGGGTAGAGGGTGAGGGGGAGTGTGGTAGAGGGTGAGGGGGAGTGTGGTAGAGGGTGAGGGGGAGAGTGGTAGAGGGTGAGGGGGAGAGTGGTAGAGGGTGAGGGGGAGAGTGGTAGAGGGTGAGGGGGAGAGTGGTAGAGGGTGAGGGGGAGTGTGGTAGAGGGTGAGGGGGAGAGTGGTAGAGGGTGAGGGGGAGTGTGGTAGAGGGTGAGGGGGAGTGTGGTAGAGGGTGAGGGGGAGTGTGGTAGAGGGTGAGGGGGAGTGTGGTAGAGGGTGAGGGGGAGTGTGTGGTAGAGGGTGAGGGGTGAGGGAGAGTGTGGTAGAGGGTGAGGGGGAGTGTGGTAGAGGGTGAGGGGAGTGTGGTAGAGGGTGAGGGAGAGTGTGGTAGAGGGTGAGGGGGAGTGTGGTAGAGGGTGAGGGAGAGTGTGGTAGAGGGTGAGGGGGAGTGTGGTAGAGGGTGAGGGGGAGTGTGGTAGAGGGTGAGGGGGAGTGTGGTAGAGGGTGAGGGGGAGTGTGGTAGAGGGTGAGGGGAGTGTGGTAGAGGGTGAGGGGGAGTGTGGTAGAGGGTGAGGGGGAGTGTGGTAGAGGGTGAGGGGGAGAGTGGTAGAGGGTGAGGGGGAGAGTGGTAGAGGGTGAGGGGGAGAGTGGTAGAGGGTGAGGGGGAGGTGGTAGAGGGTGAGGGGGAGTGTGGTAGAGGGTGAGGGGGAGAGTGGGTAGAGGGTGAGGGGGAGTGTGGTAGAGGGTGAGGGGGAGTGTGGTAGAGGGTGAGGGGGAGTGTGGTAGAGGGTGAGGGGGAGTGTGGTAGAGGGTGAGGGGGAGAGTGGTAGAGGGTGAGGGGGAGGGGTAGAGGGTGAGGGGGAGTGTGTAGAGGGTGAGGGGGAGTGTGGTAGAGGGTGAGGGGGAGTGTGGTAGAGGGTGAGGGGGAGTGTGGTAGAGGGTGAGGGGGAGTGTGGTAGAGGGTGAGGGGGAGAGTGGTAGAGGGTGAGGGGGAGAGTGGTAGAGGGTGAGGGGGAGTGTGGTAGAGGGTGAGGGGGAGTGTGGTAGAGGGTGAGGGGGAGTGTGGTAGAGGGTGAGGGGGAGTGTGGTAGAGGGTGAGGGGGAGTGTGGTAGAGGGTGAGGGGGAGTGTGGTAGAGGGTGAGGGGGAGTGTGGTAGAGGGTGAGGGGGAGTGTGGTAGAGGGTGAGGGGGAGTGTGGTAGAGGGTGAGGGGGAGTGTGGTAGAGGGTGAGGGGGAGTGTGGTAGAGGGTGAGGGGGAGAGTGGTAGAGGGTGAGGGGGAGAGTGGTAGAGGGTGAGGGGGAGTGTGGTAGAGGGTGAGGGGGAGTGTGGTAGAGGGTGAGGGGGAGTGTGGTAGAGGGTGAGGGGGAGTGTGGTAGAGGGTGAGGGGGAGTGTGGTAGAGGGTGAGGGGGAGTGTGGTAGAGGGTGAGGGGGAGTGTGGTAGAGGGTGAGGGGGAGTGTGGTAGAGGGTGAGGGGGAGTGTGGTAGAGGGTGAGGGGGAGTGTGGTAGAGGGTGAGGGGGGAGTGTGGTAGAGGGTGAGGGGGAGTGTGGTAGAGGGTGAGGGGGAGTGTGGTAGAGGGTGAGGGGGAGTGTGGTAGAGGGTGAGGGGGAGAGTGTGGTAGAGGGTGAGGGGGAGAGTGAGGGGGAGTGTGGTAGAGGGTGGTGGTAGAGGGTGAGGGGGGAGTGTGGTAGAGGGTGAGGGGGAGTGTGGTAGAGGGTGAGGGGGAGAGTGGTAGAGGGTGAGGGGGAGTGTGGTAGAGGGTGAGGGGGAGTGTGGTAGAGGGTGAGGGGGAGTGTGGTAGAGGGTGAGGGGGAGTGTGGTAGAGGGTGAGGGGGAGAGTGGTAGGGGGAGTGGGTGAGGGGGAGTGTGGTAGAGGGTGAGGGGGAGTGTGGTAGAGGGTGAGGGGGAGTGTGGTAGAGGGTGAGGGGGAGTGTGGTAGAGGGTGAGGGGGAGTGTGGTAGAGGGTGAGGGGGAGTGTGGTAGAGGGTGAGGGGGAGTGTGGTAGAGGGTGAGGGGGAGTGTGGTAGAGGGTGAGGGGGGAGTGTGGTAGAGGGTGAGGGGGGAGTGTGGTAGAGGGTGAGGGGGAGAGTGTGGTAGAGGGTGAGGGGGAGAGTGTGGTAGAGGGTGAGGGGGAGTGTGGTAGAGGGTGAGGGGGAGTGTGGTAGAGGGTGAGGGGGAGTGTGGTAGAGGGTGAGGGGGAGTGTGGTAGAGGGTGAGGGGGAGTGTGGTAGAGGGTGAGGGGGGAGTGTGGTAGAGGGTGAGGGAGAGTGTGGTAGAGGGTAAGGGGGAGTGTGGTAGAGGGTGAGGGGGGAGTGTGGTAGAGGGTGAGGGGGAGTGTGGTAGAGGGTGAGGGGGGAGTGTGGTAGAGGGTGAGGGAGAGTGTGGTAGAGGGTAAGGGGGAGTGTGGTAGAGGGTGAGGGGGAGAGTGGTAGAGGGTGAGGGGGAGAGTGGTAGAGGGTGAGGGGGAGTGTGGTAGAGGGTGAGGGGGAGTGTGGTAGAGGTTGAGGGAGAGAGTGGTAAAGGGTGAGGGAGAGTGTGGTAGAGGGTGAGGGGGAGTGTGGTAGTGGGTGAGGGGGAGTGTGGTAGAGGGTGAGGGGGAGTGTGGTAGAGGTTGAGGGGGAGAGTGGTAAAGGGTGAGGGAGAGTGTGGTAGAGGGTGAGGGGGAGGGGGAGTGTGGTAGTGGGTGAGGGGGAGTGTGGTAGAGGGTGAGGGGGAGTGTGGTAGAGGGTGAGGGGGGAGTGTAGTAGAGGGTGAGGGGGAATGTGGTAGAGGGTGAGGGGGGAGTGTGGTAGAGGGTGAGGGGGAGAGTGTGGTAGAGGGTGAGGGAGAGTGTGGTAGAGGGTGAGGGGGAGTGTGGTAGTGGGTGAGGGGGAGTGTGGTAGAGGGTGAGGGGGAGTGTGGTAGAGGGTGAGGGGGAGTGTGGTAGAGGGTGAGGGGGGAGTGTGGTAGAGGGTGAGGGAGAGTGTGGTAGAGGGTAAGGGGGAGTGTGGTAGAGGGTGAGGGGGGAGTGTGGTAGAGGGTGAGGGGGAGTGTGGTAGAGGGTGAGGGGGGAGTGTGGTAGAGGGTGAGGGAGAGTGTGGTAGAGGGTGAGGGGGAGTGTGGTAGAGGGTGAGGGGGGAGTGTGGTAGAGGGTGAGGGAGAGTGTGGTAGAGGGTGAGGGGGAGAGTAGTAGAGGGTGAGGGGGAGTGTGGTACAGGGGGAGAGTGGTAGAGGGTGAGGGGGAGAGTGGTAGAGGGTGAGGGGGAGTGTGGTACAGGGGGAGAGTGGTAGAGGGTGAGGGGGAGTGTGGTAGAGGGTGAGGGGGAGTGTGGTAGAGGGTGAGGGGGAGTGTGGTAAAGGGTGAGGGGGAGAGTGGTAGAGGGTGAGGGGGAGTATGGTAGAGGGTGAGGGGGAGTGTGGTAGAGGGTGAGGGGGAGAGTGGTAGAGGGTGAGGGGGAGTGTGGTAGAGGGTGAGGGGAGTGTGGTAGAGGGTGAGGGGGAGTATGGTAGAGGGTGAGGGGGAGTGTGGTAGAGGGTGAGGGGGAGAGTGGTAGAGGGTGAGGGGGAGTATGGTAGAGGGTGAGGGGGAGTGTGGTAGAGGGTGTGGGGGAGAGTGGTAGAGGGTGAGGGGGAGTATGGTAGAGGGTGAGAGGGAGTGTGGTAGAGGGTGAGGGGGAGAGTGGTAGAGGGTGAGGGGGAGTGTGGTAGAGGGTGAGGGGGAGTGTGGTAGAGGGTGAGGGGGAGTGTGGTAGAGGGTGAGGGGGAGAGTGGTAGATGGTTAGGGGGAGTATGGTAGAGGGTGAGGGGGAGTGTGGTAAAGGGTGAGGGGGAGAGTGGTAGAGGGTGAGGGGGAGTATGGTAGAGGGTGAGGGGGAGTGTGGTAGAGGGTGAGGGGGAGTGTGGTAGAGGGTGAGGGAGAGTGTGGTAGAGGGTGAGGGGGGAGTGTGGTAGTGGGTGAGGGGGAGTGTTGTAGAGGGTGAGGGGGAGTGTGGTAGTGGGTGAGGGGGAGTGTGGTAGAGGGTGAGGGGGAGTGTGGTAGAGGGTAAGGGGGAGTGTGGTAGTGGGTGAGGGGGAGTGTGGTAGAGGGTGAGGGGGAGTGTGGTAGAGGGTGAGGGGGAGTGTGGTAGAGGGTGAGGGGGAGTGTGGTAGTGGGTGAGGGGGAGAGTGGTAGAGGGTGAGGGGGAGTGTGGTAGAGGGTGAGGGAGAGTGTGGTAGAGGGTGAGCGGAGTGTGGTAGAGGGTGAGGGGGAGTGTGGTAGTGGGTGAGGGGGAGTGTGGTAGAGGGTGAGGGGGAGTGTGGTAGAGGGTGAGGGGAGAGAGGTAGAGGGGGAGCGAGACGGTGGAGTGTGAGGGTGAATGAGAGAGTGTGAGTGTGGTGGAGGATGAGAGAGTGTGAGTGTGGTGGAGGATGAGAGAGTGTGAGTGTGGTGGAGGATGAGAGAGTGTGAGTGTGGTGGAGGATGAGAGAGTGTGAGTGTGGTGGAGGATGAGAGAGTGTGAGTGTGGTGGAGGATGAGAGAGTGTGAGTGTGGTGGAGGATGAGAGAGTGTGAGTGTGGTGGAGGATGAGAGAGTGTGAGTGTGGTGGAGGATGAGAGAGTGTGAGTGTGGTGGAGGATGAGAGAGTGTGAGTGTGGTGGAGGATGAGAGAGTGTGAGTGTGGTGGAGGATGAGAGAGTGTGAGTGTGGTGGAGGATGAGAGAGTGTGAGTGTGGTGGAGGATGAGAGAGTGTGAGTGTGGTGGAGGATGAGAGAGTGTGAGTGTGGTGGAGGATGAGAGAGTGTGAGTGTGGTGGAGGATGAGAGAGTGTGAGTGTGGTGGAGGATGAGAGAGTGTGAGTGTGGTGGAGGATGAGAGAGTGTGAGTGTGGTGGAGGATGAGAGAGTGTGGTAAACATAGTCAGTAAGGCGCAGGTTGGGGTTATCACAACGATGTTGTGTGAGTCATAACAGCGGCTCCAAGGTGGACTAAAATACTAAACCTAAGGCCGGCCACACACGTGCAGTTTTAACTGACAGTTATGACTGTTCAGTTATAACTGTCACAGTTCAAAGTGACGTCAGTTAAAAATGAAATGCACACACACACACACAGTTCAATCCCTCAGTTTTACTATGGATTCCGAGGAGTACGATCTTGGCGCTCTTGGTGTATTCTTGGCATTTGTCGCAGTTTAACTGTACAGTTCTGTTGAACTGACGAAATGAGCAACTGAGATACCCACACACGTGCAGTTTTAACTGACAGTTTTAACTGAACAGTTATAACTGTCAGTTAAAACTGCAGGTGTGTGGCCGGCCTTAGACTGGAAACCAAACAATTCTGGGTTGAAATAAAGGGATTGTTGCCTGCGCGCTGACCGTATATTGACTAGACCAAGAATGAGTTCACTTGAAGATGTAATCACTGGAGCACTAACTTGGGACAGAAGAGCTTCCAGTAGAAACAGGTGGACCCATTATGCAATAAACGCTTTAAATACATTCGAGAACACAAATACAGTAATTGTATAATTCCTTCACAATCAATTATACAATCCCTGAGATGGGTGTCGACGAAGTACATGGAGACTCCGTTATACAAGCCCTTGGGAGTACCTGCCACCAGGCTAGGATGTTGGCAGCAAACCTGGCAGCTGACAACTTCTCACAGGGATAAGTAGACCGGCAGATGGTGTACTGCTAGGAGAGGCGAGGAACCAGGTAGGTAATCCCTGGGGGCAACAGGAACCGTTTACGTGGATTCCGCACACGCGTTGGTGAGCCACAGCAACGCGTGGCCAGGTACAGCTAATTATCAATACTTGAGACATATATCCTTACCAGTGTAATCACCGCTATCAACTTGTATACTAGTTATTTGTTGATATAAAATCCTTCCTACAATGTGCCCTTTCAACTTACCTGTTATGTTACATTAAGGACCTGCCCGAACCGCTTGGCGTCCTTGTGGCTTTCTATGAATTTAAAAATACCAATTTTATGTAATCTCACCAACACATTGTACCTTCTTGCAAATAAATTATTATTATTATTTTTTTTATTATTATTATTATTATTATTATTATTATTATTATTATTATTATTATTATTATTATTATTATTATTATTATTATTATAAGAGAGACAAACAGAGAGACAAAGATATCACTCACAGGTTTGATGAAGAGTGTTGAGTCACGAGTGTAACTGATGCTGCGGTTGTTGAGGTACACTTGGAACTCCCAGTTCTGGTGAGGAGCCAAGAAGGAACAACATATTCATCATTCACCTTGTCATATACCAAGTAATCTCATTTGAATTCATCAAATGTGTATTAATTATTTTATCACATCATATTTCACAGAGAAATCACATTATTGTGATATATCAATGACAAAATACACAGGAGCCGTAATGTGGATTCGAACCAAACCCTGGGAATCCCCAGATGCGCACTCTACCCGACTACGCCACGACATGGTCAAAGAATTACAACCTGGGGTACTACTGCACCCTCGAGGACCCCCGAGGCTTCCACTGAAGCCAAACCAGGGTTTCACACAGTCTCCCCCCCCCTCCCCATTACACTCCTTACACCATCTGTCAATAGTCAGAGACGTCACATTATCGCGATATAAGATTTAGTTATATCAGTACAGAGATAGGATGTGTTCACAAATACTTGAGCGAGGGGGCTGTAACACTAGAACTGTAATATAGAAAGACCATAGATTTAACAGTGGAAGTTGGTAGTGAGTGGCAGTTGACCTGACCTGACGGGCTAGGGAGGGTGTCCCTGCCCTAAGGGATTAGTGTGTAGAAAACGGTGGCGCCAACCGCTTCCTGTGTCAAGTTATCAAACTAGGAGAATTATGAATGTATTACAGAATTAGGAGGAATTATCAATCGGGGTTAAGCTCTTATGTTAAAATTAACGTTAATTGAGATTAATGAATAAGTCTTGTATGTTAGCAAAAAAAAAATTGACTTCAATCAGATCTGAAATAGGTAAAACATATTTCGTCACTGGAAAATAGGTACCTATCTTCTTGTTTGTTAAATCACGTAAATTAGGAGAATACAAGTGCTACTGAATATTGTAATTAGTCTGGCTCGAGTATCTAGATAATTCCAATTTGTTTTTTGGAATTAGAAGTCACCTTTAGTGACAAATACTGGAATTTAGTTAATAATCATTTTCAAAGATTAATCTGGCAACTAGCCTAGGGTCAACCACCCACGAGGTCAGTGTTGAGAGGTTTAGTCAGTGTGGGGTCAACTGGGGACAACACCTCTCCCTGGAGCCGGCAGCACATCGAGGCCAGGCTGTGATATTTTAAGGTAATTGTTTGTGTCTGAAGTTTTGCTACAGTGTAGAAAGTCACATTAATTGTTGTAGTTAATTTGCCAATCACTTCAGTTAGGAGAATATTGTTAGGAAGTGTTCCGATAGGGTTTTATTTATTTTTTTATTTTCTTTGATAACCTTTGATTTTAATAAATTTAGTTTAAAATATTATGGTGTTTAGTGCAATTTACAAACGGTTATTTTACATTGTACTGGACATATAACCCCATGCTTAAGACTAGGGCTCTCTCCGCAAACCTACAAGCATTTAATAACTAAGATAATCCCTTTATACTTTGATTTAATTACCACACTTAACGTCAAGCTTAGCCCTCCTTTTCTGATAATTGGGGGATACATTTTCATGGTTTATGCATAATTGGCGGTACCCTGCTTCACCGTCAATTGAGGGTAGCGGGTAAATCACTCAGTGGGTAGCGGGTGTTGGCGGCGTTTCAGAGTGGTGCAGTGTAGCATAGCGGGCACCGTGTCCTTCAGCCGTGATATTTAAATTAATAAATCAATCCATTAATGTAACATCACTTGTATGTATATACCTTACCTGAATAAACATCTGAATCTGAATCTAAACGTTTAGATCTCTAGGACTTGTACTGAAGATTACACAGCACAACTGTGGTTTCTGTAGATATTTACTTAATAACGACCAGCATTTAACCAGTAAGTGAGGTTAAAGGCTGATCCCCGTTACACACCACTACTCTCACACCACCGTACACTGTTACTCTCACACCACCGTACACTGTTACTCTCACACCACCGTACACTGTTACTCTCACACCACCGTACACTGTTACTCTCACACCACCGTACACTGTTACTCTCACACCACCGTACACTGTTACTCTCACACCACCGTACACCACTACTCCCACACCACCGTACACCACTACTCCCACACCACCGTACACCACTACTCCTGGTTGATACCTGGTTGATGGGGTTCTGAGAGTTCTTCTACTCCCCAAGCACGGCCCGAGGCCAGGCTTGACTTGTGAGAGTTTGGTCCACCAGGCTGTTGCTTGGAGCGGCCCGCAGGCCCACATACCCACCACAGCCCGGTTGGTCCGGCACTCCTTGGAGGAATAAATCTAGTTTCCTCTTGAGGGAGTCTCGTCGTGGACGTGGTGGCGAGCAGACGTGCTTTGCTTCGCTCTGCTACTGGCGTCTGGTGGGTGGACGTGTTTGTCGTCGCTGTTGGCCTGCGTGTTGACGGATGGGCGGATAACGTCACGCTGGGGGTGGTATATGTGCCATCATGGGCTCCTACACACCTCCACTAAAGCGCAAGGAGTCCATAGGACTCAAGTTTAGTTGTCATGCTGCTCCCGACCTTGTATCCACCACGATCTTCGAAGTGTTACAGATCAAGCAGGAAGAAATATTTGGTTACCAACCACTGCCAGGGAACAGGGTGGTGTTGAAATTTGGAAACAATGTGGCATTTTCAGAGTTTCTTAAGAAGTATGATGATGACATTATAAGTTTACCTAATGGGAAAGGATCAGTACAAGTGCTTAATTTGAGCAAAACGTTTACATACGTTTCTGTGAGGGATGCGCCATTTGAAATGTTGAATGGAACTATTGTACACATACTGGAACAATATGGGAAAGTGGACAATGTTCGTTTTAATAAATATACGTATGGCCCAGGGAAAGGGTGTTTTAATGGAACACGAACAGTAAAGATGGAACTTCACCGTAATATTCCATCATCAATGTCAGTAGCAGGTCATTATATTAAGTTTATATACAATGGCCAAATGCAAACTTGTTTCAAGTGTGGGCGTACTGGTCACATGGCTGCTGCCTGCCAGGTGGAGGCATCGGAACGGATCAACATTTTTCATGAACATGACTTTCCGCCATTAATAGAGGATAGTGTATCAGGAAATGAACCCGCTGCTGTAAATACTGTAGTTCAGGTGAGGTAGATGAAGTAACCCACAACTCTGTAAGTGAAACGTCTGTGGAAGTGACTCCCAGTGCGAATGAGGCCGGTGAAGGTAACTTAGATCAGGACGATGAAGGTAATGCAGACAAGGAGGGTGCAGGTGACACTGCTCAGGACGCTTTACCGGCTGTTGGTAGCCCTGGTGAGGGTGAGGTAAGTCTGGACACTATACATGTGGACGCCCATAACATAGGTGCTGACGCTGCGAAGAGCTGCGAGGCTGGCGGTGGTGCTGACCTTGGTGAGGTGACGATGGAACAAGTAATTGGTTGTCAACTGGATGTGGAGGATGACACAATGGTGGATAATGATGTAGAAATGTCTGTGCAGAGAGCAACTCCACCCTCTTCAGTAAGGTATGATAGAAAGGGTAGGGGTAGTGTGAGGGCTGGGGGTGTGAAGGCTAAGGGTGTGAAGGCTGGTTCTGTAACCAGTCACGGGAAGAAACGGAAAAAATTTACTCGGAGTATTGATCTGGAACGTATGAAGGACTACGCCGCTAAATTAAAAGTCTCTGAAAAAATTGAGCAGGTTGTTGCCGTTGAAGTTCACCGTGACCAAGGCCCCGAAGAGTCACCGAAACGTAGCGAGGGCACAGTACAACAGGTGAGTGAGGACCATGGTAGAGAGAACAGTGATAAGACATGGTGGGATCTTGTGGAACATGAACAGAATCGAGACGCGAGTGCAAATATTAAACTTAAACTTCGAAAAGGGAAAGATGACACTAAGATAGTGTCAAGTGAGATAATGACGGATAAAGGGTAATTTTGGTTTCTCTTCAAATTCCATTCGTGAAGCCAATTAATTTTAATTGTGCTACTTTGAACATTAATGGGCTCAATTGTAGAAATAAACAGTTGCAGCTGTTATCATTGTTTAAATATCATAATTTGGATGTACTTTTAGTGCAAGAACACAATGTACAAGATGTTAAGAAACTTGATGTGCTGCTTGATTTCTTTGAAATATTGATAAATCCAACGGCCTTGTTGAAAGGTGGTACGATAATATTGCTTGCTAAGCGAGCCCACATCAAGGTTCGTAATACTGAAATGGATGATAATGGTAATGTTTTATATGCGAGGATTTCCTTTTTTGACGCAATAATTCCTGTACTTAATGTGTATGCTCCCTCTGGCACCCGCAGGAAGAAAGAGAGGGAGGACTTGTTCTCTAACGAGTTATTATATTTTTTCAGAAATGATACGCGTAACGTTATTTTTGGTGGCGACTTTAATTGTGTCACTTCTATGAGAGATTGTAGCATTCAGTCGAACGCATGTGTATCTCCTGCTTTAATTACACTTTTGAAATGTATTGGTCTAAAGGATGCAAATAGCATTAACGGAGGTGTATATGAATACACATATGTTCGCCAGAATTATGGTTCTAGGCTTGACAGATTATATATGCACTCGTTACATGATAAAATTAGTTCTTGCAGTACTGTTCCGGTCAGCTTTTCAGATCACTGTATGGTTGTGGTGAAGCTTGTTATTGACGATCAGGTTAAAGTGGGGACAGGGTCATGGAAGCTCAATTGCAGTCTGTTGCAGAGTAGAGATGTAATTGATAATTTTCAAGTATTGTGGGAACATCTGGTTGGGCAAAAACGTAAGTTCAGATGTCTATTGGAGTGGTGGGACATGTGTAAAGTTGCATGCAAAAGTTTCTTCGTGAAAGTATCCAGACGAAAGGCTGCTGAAAAATATGGTCTGTTAAACTTATTCCAACACAGACTAAAACAACTTTATGTAAAGGTCAATATGGGACTAGACAAGTATGAGGAAATTACCATTTTAAAAGACAGAATTAACAAATTGAGGGATGAAATATCTGAAGGAGTCAATGTTCGCCTCCAGATTAATGATAGGATGTATGGTGAAAAACTCTCTCCTTATTTGTTAAGTAAAGTCAAGA